AAGAAAGACAAAGAAAACTATTAAGAGAAAATATACACACTAGCAAGGATTATTTAAATCAGGATAAACATATCTCTCTCTTCACAAGTAGTATGGTTCACATCTGTTCAAGTAAATTAATATTCATCTGCAAATGTCAGAGTAAATAATTAAAATGCTATTTTGAAGAAAATGCAATGAGAAAGAAAAAGATAAGGAAATTGAACTATGATGCTGGAAAATGTCCCCCCTCCCCCCTAGTTTTCTGAGACATAGCTTTCTCTGCGTAGTCCCTAGCTATCCTGGAACTCAATCTGTAAACCAGGCTAGTCTTGAATTCACAAGAGAAGTCTGCCTCTGCCTCCCTAGTACTGGCTTAAAGGTGTGTGCCACAACTTCCCTACTGAAAAAAAAATACATTAAAAAAAGATTTATTATGTATACGGTGTTCTGCCTGCATGTATCCCTACAGGTCAGAAGATATCAACAAATCTCTTTACAGATGGTTTTGAGTCACCATGTGGATGCTGAGAATTGAGAACAAGCAGTGCTCTGAACCTCTGAGCCATCTCTCCAGCCCAGAAAAATACTTTCAAAATAATACTATTAAAAATATTTGCAAAGCTGGATGTGATGACAGACACTACTAATCCTAGCACTTGGGAAACAGGCAGATGGAGTCCTGTGAGCTCAATCCCAGCCTGTTCTATACAGCTGAGTTTCAACAGAGTCAGGGCTACGTAGTGACACTTCATCTCAGGGGAAAATGCAATGTCAAGACAGACATGGTGGCTCCTACCTGTAATTCCAGTATTCAAGATACTAAGGCAAGAACACAAGCTGGAGGCCATCTTGGTCCACACAGAATCTCAAAAAACAAACACACAAACAAAACAAACAACTTGTTTGTGTGTATTTATAAAATTATAGGTTTGAGTTGGATCCTAGATCACACAAAGTGGCAGGGGAGATTCCACTCCACAGAGCTGTTCCCTGCCCTGCACAAACACAAATTTTTTTAAAAAAATTTAGGAGATCAAGAGATGTCTCAGTAGTTAAGCGCACTAGAGCACTAGCTGCTATTCCAGAGGACCCATGTTTAATTCTCAGCATCCACATGAATGCTTACAACTATTGGTAACTTGGTAACTATAGGCCCATGGGTTTGATGCCCTCTTCATGCAAAACTCCCGTTTTTAATGTAAAATGTTAAGTAACATCAATAAAGAAAATTACTGAATAGCAAATTACAATTCCTATTCTAAATTAAATGATTACTGCAAGTATTTTAATCAGCAGAAATGTAAAATTAACAAATCAAGTAACATGCTCATTTTTTATTTTTTCAAGATGGGTTTCTCTGTCCTGGCTGTTCTGGAATTGGCTCTGTAGACCAGGCTAGCCTCTGCTTCCCAAGTGCTGGGATTAAAGATGGATGCCACCACTGCCACATGGATAAATACACATTCTTAATGATTTAGATGTCAAAACACCATTTGCTGCAGGCTGTGACAGTCTTCTTTGCAACAGAAATTTGACTATTTTTAGAGAATCTCAATGAATACAACTAAAGCCTTCTTGTGCAAGTGTTGTAAAAGGAGTGGCAGGCTGCATTCCCGCCTGGATCCCGGCTAGCCTACCCCCCGAAATAATTACACGAAAACTATATTCTTTTAAACACTGCCTGGCCCGTTATCTCCAGCCTCTTATTGGCTAACTCTCACATAACCCATATAACTCTCACATAACTCTTGACTAACCCATATCTAATAATCTGTATGCCACCACAAGGTCGTGGCTTACCGGGAGGATTCTAACCCATGTCCACCTTGGGCAGGAGAAGCATGGCAACTGCTTGCCTCTGCTTTCTTTCTCCCACAATTCTGTTCTGTCTTCTCCGCCTACCTATGTTCTGACCTATCAGGCCACGCAGTTTTCTTTATTAATTAACCATTGAAAGCAACAGATAGATAGAAGACCCACCTACATCAGTGGAAGCATCATCTTTTCCATGTAACACAAATGATGGAGCCATTCTGCAGGCATTACCTATGGCTGCACTGACACAGCACGGCCCAGTTTTCTTTTACTCTAGCATTTATTTGGGTCTTAGCTTCTCTTCATCTATCAAGTTCTCAGTGACCCATGCAACTCAAACATGAAGTCATCACGGCTTTGTGAACTCATACTATCTTAAAAAGGCTTGGTTTATAATTTCTTACCCCAAATCTTTAGAGTCAGGTATGTTTTAGAATTCAATTTTTTGATTTTTAAAATAAAGACAAGTGGTACTATAAAAATGACATTTTTAGTACTATCAGCACAATCTGGTGCTTATCAATCACACTGATAAGCATATACATTCAGTTTAAAATAATCAAAATTATAAACAACTTCCCACAAATTCAGGTCAAGTTTTGCTGTCAAAAGACCTACAATCAAAACAATTTTGGGTTTTCAGAACTTTGAGGATTCAAGATTGTGTCTATGACAACAAAACATTACATCCAGCACTGTAACAGCACCTGTATATCAAAATCAACATACTCTCTAACTGAACATCTGACCTGCTCTCCACGGGTCAACGAAGAGCTTCATGAGCTTCTCCCATTCTTCTTTACCAATACATTTGACAGTGAAAATCTCTCTGAGAATTTCTCTCCCTCCCTAATCCCTACGACTTCCACAGCGTTTGCAACTCTCATCTAAAATGCACCTTTCTCACCTGGAGGATGCTGACTTCCAAACCAGACTACTCACCGTTTTGCAGACAGAAAAATGCATTCTTCATAAAACTGCCAGAACTAACTTTTAAAATACAGACCCAATCATGGTTACAAGCAAACGTAGGCGACTACCAGGCTGCCAGCTGCTCACAGGAGAACATTAATCGTTGGTATTAATCTTTTTAACCTCATTTCTTTTAACTATTTCTATCCTTTTGATTTTTCTCAGTTTTATTTTCTTTCTAGAATATAGCATCTATTTTATCCTTCTGAACCTTTATACTCATGGTCCCAAAGCCTAGGACACTTCTAATCTACTGTTCTACTCATTTTTCAAGTTTCATTTTCTCTTACTTTTATGTTTTACATACATTTATTTATTTATTTACTTATTTATTTATTTAATGGAAGCAGGGGTGCATGACTCATGTGGAGGTCAAAGGACAACTTGCAGGAAAAGATTCTCTCCTTCTACCAAGTGAACTTCAGGGATTGAACTATGGATGTTAGACTTGGCAGCAATTGCCTTTACTTGCTGAGCCATCTTGCCAGCCCCAAGTCTGCTTTAAATGTAACTTCTCCAAAAGAAGTCTCCTGACCTCCTGTTTTAAATTAAATCACTCCTATTATTTTATCTCCTGAAAGCCTAGTCCTTCCCTGTATACATTTATAAAAATGTGCTATTTCTCCATGTGTTCCATGACTGCCTCCATCCTGTGTACTGTCACATGAATGCACCCTGCATCTAGCACAATGCCGTTGACATAATAGGTAAACATGAAAGTGAGTACCTACACCTTCTGGGTTGTGAAATATTAAGTCATTCATTTTCTCGAGAGGAGACAAAAAAAAAAAAACAAGAGCAATCAAAGTTTCAGATTTATCAAGACTTTTTTCATATCTAATATATGTCCACCAAAAGAGAAAAACTATTAACTGCTGAGAAAATAAGAATAAACAAAGCATCCAATCCTTGTCCTCATATAATTTACATTTCAATGGGAAAAGACAGCAAATAGGAGTGAAGGTGCCAGTGGTGTGGCCCGTCAAAAATGATGACTAAAACGCTCCAGTCTCCTCATTAGCCTAAGGAGCTGCAGCACACTGTGAAGGATATGCAGCATGACATGGTAAGCCGCCACTGTGACCTGGAGAGTCCTCACTATCTACTAGTTGAAATTAAATTCCTGACGTAGTCAATGATGCTAGGTGCTAAAAACATAAAACAAGAGTGGGAAGAAAAATGTTATATGGTAGGATTCATAAAATGCACCTACCTTAAAATAAGCCTTCAACTAGGACTGAAAGAACACCAAATTACATATAATTTATCCCAAGTTAAAAGAACACAAACATTGTCATTGCCTACCTTCCTCCACTAAATTTATTATTATTATTTTATTTTTATTTTTTTAAATTTTTTTTTGCGGGGGGGGGGTTCAAGACAGGGTTTCTCTGTAGCTTTGGAGCCTGTCCTGGAACTAACTCTGTAGACCAGGCTGGCCTCAAACTCAGAGATCCACCTGCCTCTGCCTACTGAGTGCTGGGATTAAAGGCATGCGCCACCACCGCCCGGCCCTTCACTAAAATTTAAGCACTGTGAGAACAGAGCTTTTTCATTGTTTTGTTTACTGCTGTATCTTCATTACTGACTACCTTCAGGTTGCATTCTTACACAGAAATTCATAAATCAGCACTGTCTTTACCATCTACCAATGCCTTCATTTTCCTCAACCATCTTTAAACAGCTCTTTTATTTATTTGACTGAACCTTTATGACACTGTTACAGTCTGTATATGAAATGTCCATCACAGAATCATGTGTTTCAACACCTGTTTCCCAGCTGGTTGAACTGTTCTGAGGGAACATGGAAGGAATTCTTTGGACAAATGTGCCTAGCTGGTCGATGTAGAAGATAGGACCATGGCCTGAGAGTCTAATCTAGCTCTAGTTCTAGACCAAACTTTGTTTCCTGATCCTATAAGATGTAAGAACATAATATTATATTCTTTCTTCTCTATTATGATGGACTAAATGTAAACAACGAGCCAAGGTATATCCAGCCCTTTTTCTCTGGAGTTTGGTCATAGTAAAAAGTAACTGGTACGTATGACAAGCATTAGCACTCTGGCATGTTAGCTCTTTATCTCCAAAATAAGAAGACAATATAAATTATTACAGCACTGAAATGGTTCATTTAAATTTTTCTAATACTAAAAAAAAAACAAAAAGATTCTATTATTTAATCAATATATATAAATATAAATCTTCAACTTAGCCTTGAAAATACCAACCTGAGCTGTTTCTGTCATCTTCTGTTCAAAATCAGCTTTTGTTAATGCATACTTTTCCACATAGAGTTTATAAGTATCTGTAGCTTTCTTAGATTTAACAGCTGCCTGTAATAAAAGCATTTAAGAACATATTTATTTTAATTTTATGTGTACAAGTGTTTGTCTTCATGTATGTCTGTGAATGATGTGCATTTCTAGTGCCCTCAGAGGGCAGAAGAAGATACCAGTTGTCCAGAACCAGAGTTACAAATGGTTATGAGTCACCATATGAGTGATGGGAATCAGACCTGGGTCATCTGCAAGACTACCCAGTGCTCTTAACTGCTGAGCCATCTTTCCAGCACACTCCTCAAAAGCATAAAAATATAAAATATAAACAAAGCTATTTATTTATTTATTATGTATAGTGTTCTGTCTGCATGTATGCCTGCAGGCCAGAAGAGGGCACCAGATCTCATTACAGATGGTTGTGAGCAACCAAGTGGTTGCCGGGGAATGAACTCAGGACCTCTGGAAGAGCAGTCAGTCCATCTCTCTAGTCCAAACAAAGCAATTTACCTTGTGCCTGGGTCCTACTACTATCCTATTATACATATTCAAATACTACAAATCCAGTTAAGCATGCTGGTGCAAGCCATTAAACCCAGCATTGTGAGACACAGGCAAGAAGATCTCTTAAATTCAAAGCCAGCCTGGTCTACATAGTGAGTTCTAGTTCATCTAAGAATACATACTGAAACAGTCTCCAAAAATAATAAATACTATTGATAATAAATAAAAATCTGAAAAAGATCCAAAAAATATGACAAAGTTCCTGCTCCAAGCATTTTGGATAAAGAGTAAATATTCAAAGTAACCTATCTTCCAAATTTTTTCTTTAACTATTAACTTCTTTAGCTCTGTTGCTTTAAAAATAATTTTTAGTATTTATTTTTTTCATTTCCATATTTTAAAATTAGGTGGGTTTTATTGAGTAAATTTTGTTTCATGATGCCTTCATTAAGTTCTTAACCCTTTCTAGTATGATTCATATTCACTTATTTCTTTGCAGAACCTAACACATTTTTGTTGTGATGCTTTTAAAATTTAAATTTCATCCAATAAGACTTCTTATTCCAGTTATTAAATGTATTAGCGACCTGTCTCAATATTAGAGCTCTTAAATGTGTTCTAGAATCTTACCTGTTTGCTCATTCCAAATGGGAAGTTTCTGGGATTTCCCTTCCCATGAGATGTGAAGTACACTCACTTCACACCTTCCACACATTACTTTATTATTCACATGCTCAACCACTGAGTTTTCAGGTTATCCACTGCCAACTCTCGAAGATCTAATCTAACGTGTTTTTAAAAAATAGTTTTAACTACTCTCCCTTTAGAATATTAGGGACAGGTTCTATAAACTGACTCCAGATCAGGATTATGCTCCTATAGTTTACGTCTCCAAGACCCCAATCTCCCAGAGTCTGTGGACTTAGATGGCTGTTTCACTTACACAGCTTTCAGCTGTGAGCCAAGTTCTTTATGGCTTATCAGAAATGGGAACTTCTGTTCTCCTTTGTCATGTAAGAGTCAAATTCCACCTACCTTAGGAACTTGAGCCCAACAAATTTTGATTACAATCTTTTCATGTCATCTTGGCTGCTGATCCCCAAAGACAATCCTCTTCCTTTGAATTCATTCTTGGCTTTTCTGTTCATAGTTTATTTATAATTGCTGTGTTTGAAACAGAAGGTTTCAAACTACAAATTGAATTGTACCTCATCTTTTTCTTGCCTCCCAATTTTTACTTTATAAAGTTTATACTTTAAAGGACTTATTACTCCAAATCCCATCAATGTTTTTATTTTTTTCTCATCTACTTCTATATGAAAGTATATATTTGTTTTTCTAATTAGATACATTAAATATTTTACTAAGATTCCAAAATTAGTTTTAAATGAGATACATGTCAAAGAAACGAATGGCTGAACTGTTTTAGGAGGAAGGGAAAGACTGGGTGTGGTGGTGCGTGCCTCAAATCCTAGCAAGCAGGAGGCAGAGTTAGGTGTCTCTGACTTTGAAGCCAGCCTGTTCCAGACTAGGCAAGTCTGGTTTTGTTTTTTATCAACAAACAAAAACAGAAAAAGAAAAAAAGACCTACTTTCAGTTTAAATAGAATAGGGAAAAAGTTATAGTTCACTGCAACGTAATATAAATTTGGTTGGTCAGCAACAACATACACTTAAAGCTTATCTTTAATTGGCTATGTGTTTCTAAATACACTAAATTATTTCAACAATTAATGTACTATGTAAGTATCTGGGAGGGAGGATCAGTAAAGTTCATGCCATGGAAGCATAAAGACTTGAGTTTAGGTCCCCAGCATCTATATAAAAGCCAGGCATGGTGGTACACTTCTGTAAGCCTGGTACTGAAGAAAGTAGGGACTCTTGGAGTAGGGACTCAATGGCCTCCTAGTCAGTCTTGCTCAGTTTCAGGTTCAGTAAGAAGACCTGCCTCAAAAGATAAGGGAGAACGACAGAGGAGCACAGAGTGACCTCTGGCCTCCACAAGTGCAAGCATCTGCTCTACATACACCACACACACATTATACATCCAAAGAAGAAAGGAATTTGGAAGTATAGAGATATTTTTATATAATTACCTTTTCTATTTCTCTCTGTGTAGCTCCTTCCTTTTTCAGACGTTCCTGTTCTACACATTTGGCATTGTAATTTTCCTTAGATTTCTGGAGGGCCTGAGTTATATTTTGAATGGCTTGGACTGCTTCCAGAGTCCCTGCAACTTCTTCTTTAGTCTGTTTGATAAGAAGTGTTCAATAAAATGAGTCATAAAGCACTTACCATATAACCACTCAATTCTTTAACAAGAAAAAAAGTTACCTTTTTATGAGATTTTACTTGCTCCTCTCCATACTTCTGAACTTCCTTTATTAATTCCTGTAATTTTCTAACAAGATCCAAATGACAATTTGCTAATTTCTCTGTAGATGTTTTGAACACATCCCACACTGGTGCAAATGTTCTAAGGGAAAAGCACAGTATGGGGATGATGCATTAAGATAAAGAGGAGCCAGTGAGATGGCTCAATAAGGAAAAGCAAGCTTGCCATTAAACCCGATGACCCATGTTCAATCCCCAGAGCCCACCACAGAAAGAGAGAGCTGACTTCCAAAGCTGTCTCCTGATCTGCTTGTGTGTGCCATGGCCCAGGTGTGTCCAGTCACAAGCATACATATCAACACAAACCATAATAAAAAGTAAAATTTAAGGTTCTAAATTAAACCAAATGGAATCAATCATGCTATATTCCACAATTTTCTTTAAGTAAAAGATGAAATTAAAATAATGAAATGACCCATAGATTGTGTATGTCTGTCCTTGGTTAATTATTTAAAGTATCTTTGAACCATAGGGACCAATTAAACTTGGTTAATCTTATGTCACAGGTCTTCATAGTTCCTGCCATTTAATTGTATTCAGGTACATCATAAGCCTTTCTATGATCTACTAGTGTTAAAAATTAATTTATCAAACTTTCAAAACTGTGAGTATCCCATTAAAGATACTTCATCAAAAATAAAGTTTCTCATGGCTAGAGAGATGGTTCAGTGGTTAGGAGCACTGGCTGCTTTTCCAGGACTCGGGTTTAATTCCCAGCACCCAAATGGCAGTTCAAGACTGCCTGTAACTCCAGTTCTAGGGGTTCCAAAATCCTCACACAGACTAGACACAGGAAAAACACCAATGCACATGAAATAAAAATAAATAAATTAAAAAGAATAATAATAAAGTTTCTCTGGGGTTGAAGACATAGCTCCACTGAGTGCTTGTCTCACATGTAAGAGACCCTGGGTTTGATTCCCAACACAATAATAATAAAGGTAACAACAATAAAAACCTTCTTGTCTGAATTTAAATAAACAAAAATCAGTTTTTGCATATGATTTATTTGTGCCTTCAATAATTTCACACAAATTATTTAATAGCAGCAATCTGAAACCTTTATCTGAGCTTTGTAATTGTACCTGTGTCCTTAAATAACTTACTATCACCTTTCTACCACAGTGTATGGAATATGTGACATATTTTCCTGCCACTTTTTCTCAATAGTAAAGACTTAAAATATTCAGTAGGCTCAAACTCATCCAAGAACTTCTAAACTTGCCATCCCTTGGATAACAATAAAATTTCTATGGTTAGTTTAAAACAGTCTAGTCTGTGTAGAACAGTATATAATGTTCTGTCTGCATGTATACCTGTGGACCAGAAGAGGGCACCAATCTCAATATAGATGGTTGTGAACCACCATGTGATTGCTGGGAATTGAACTCAGGACCTTTGGAAGAGTAGCCAGTGATCTTAACTGCTGAGCCACCTCTCCAGCCCCCCATTTTAAATTTGTTTTTGTTTTTCGAGACAGTTTCTCTATGTAACAGTCCTGGCTGTCCTGGAACTCACTCTGTAGACAAGTCTGGCCTCGAACTCAGAGATACACCTGACGTTGCCTCCTGAGTCCTGGGTGCTCCACAACCACCTGGCCAGTGTAGAATATTCTAAAGATATTCTGTGCTCAAGTATATGCTTTAAAAGTCTCTACAATAAAGCTTCTAATAGAAAAAACCAATAGCAACAACAGCCACTAAGGCAAGAGGGCAGAGAACAGAATAACTTATTGCCAACTGCTATAATTCCTAACCAGTAGAAAAATTAGCTGGAACAATGATGATATGCAATTATAAAGAAGTTCAAAGAGGTTAATTAAACTCCTTAGACTAGGACTGTTATGATCCACCTGCCTCTGTCTTCCGAGTGCTGGATTAAAGGTGTGCACCACCACTGCCCAGCTACCAATGTATTCTTTACACCAAAAGGGGATTCAATACAAGATTTCTCTAAAAATAGGTTTCTTAAGACCAACAAAATGGTTTGACAGGCAAAGGCACTTGGTATGCAAACCCAATACCCGGGGTCAGTTCTTGGAACCCATGCAAAGACAGAAAGATGAGCACTGAGTCCACAAAGGCACCCTCTGCCCTACCTTCCTACCAGTCTACACAAGACAACTGTTTTTATTTATTTTTTATTTTTTTTAAATTTATTTATCTATTTATTATGTATACAATATTCTGTCTGTGTGTATGCCTGAATGCCAGAAGAGGGCACCAGACCTCATTACAGATGGTTGTGAGCCACCATGTGGTTGCTGGGAATTGAACTCAGGACCTTTGGAAGAGCAGGCAGTGCTCTTAACCACTGAGCCATCTCTCCAGCCCCCCAATTGTTTTTATTTTATTTTATTTTATTTTATGTGTGTGGGTGTTTTGCCTGTGTGTATGTTGGCATACATGTGTGCACATCTGTATGCTATATGAGTGTTTGGTGCTCAAGGAGGCCAGAAGGCAGTGAGTCCCCCGGAACTGGAGTTACAGATGACTGTTAGCCACAATGTGGGTGCTAAGAATTGAGCATGAGTCCTCTAGAAGAGTAGCAAGAGTTCTTAACTACTAAATCATCTCTCCAATTCCACAAATTTAAAAAAAGTTAAATTTAAACTTTATTATAAGAAAGTTGTAAATTAAAGAAAAAAATCACTCACAAAATTAACCAGACCAAAAGACACAACTCAGTGTAATTTCTATGCAGTTAGAACAGCCATTGGAATGAAAGCCATAAAACTTCACACTGAAGGTCATACTTTCACTACTGAATGTTTTTATGCACTTATCTTCCAGGAAAACCAAAAAAATCCATGACAAAGTTAACAGTCAGAAAAATTATTAGCTTTATATCCTCTTTAACAATTTGTGTTTGCAGCTGGTCCTTTCACCATTCTCCTCCTATTTATTCTTTTTTTTCCTCTTTTCTACATGTTATTGTTTATGCATGAGTGCATTTGTTTACACACACACACACACACACACACTTTACTCAATTTAATTTCCAAATAAGGAAGAACATAATTTTTTACAGATTTACTTAAGAAATTTCAGCTGGGCAATGGTAACACACGCCTTTAATCCTAGCACTTGGGAAGCAGAGGCAGGCAGATCTCTGAGTTTGAGGCCAGCCTGGTCTACAGAGTGAGATCCAGGACAACCAGGGCTACACAACACGGTAAAACCTTGTCTCAGAAAAAAAAAGAAAAAACAAAAAAATGTAATAATAGATAAACATTTGAAAAACAGTCAGAAATTAACTCACCCAAGTTGAGAATAATTGCTTGCAGATTTCGCTAGTTTTGTCATTGATCTGGAATATGTCTCTTCTATTGTAGCTCTGTAAAATTAAATTGTGGTATTATAATACCTATTGTTTAGCAATCCAAACATAATAAAGTTACAAAAATATGATTAAAAATGAAAAAATGAGAGCATGCCTCAAAATACATGGTAAAAAGCAGCAGGGGCCCCAGTGGATGTCTGAAATCATGGACAGTGTTAAGCTCTATGGTTATGGTTTGGATATGTAGTGTCCCAAAAAAAAGCCCCCATGTTGAATGTTCAGTCTCCAGCTGGTTATTCCAATCACTGAGAGGGCATGAGGTTATGAGCCCTCTGTCCTAATTAGCGGATTAATTAGCCTGTAGTGGATTGATAATCTGGTGATATTGGGAGGTGGTAAAAAATAAGTGGAAGAGTCTACTTGGAGTTATTACGCATCCTGGGAAGATAGACCTCACTCTTAAGCCTCTTTTTTTATCTAAATCTGTGCTTCCTGGCCATCATAAGGTAAGCAGTCACTACTAGAGGCTCTCACTGCTGTGATAAATGGCTGTGCCTTAGGCTCAAAGCAATACAAATGACTGACCATGGGCTAACAGCTCTGAAACAGAGAGCCAAAATACATCTTTTTTTTAATACTGCCTTTCTCAAGTATTTTGTCACAGCGATGGCAAGTATGAGTAAACAATCTGCCCTTATACATACGTCAATGATAAAATTTTAATTTATAAATTAGGTATACTAAGAGATTAACAATAACAGCTAATAAAATACTACAACAACAATAAAGCCATCAAGGCCAAGAATAGTAACACATACCTACTATAATCCCTACACTGAGGAAGCTGAAGCAGGAAAATCACAAATTCAAGACCAGGACACAGTTGAGTTTAATAATCCCAGCCTGAGCTGTAAAAAGTGTCCTGTACTTAACACACTTAATAGAGTTTTATCATTGTTCAAGACTGTGATGCATATTTAAAATAATTAACCTGGACTGGTGAGATGGCTCAATGGCTAAATATATCTGTCACCAAGCTTGACAACCTGAATTAACCCCTGGAATCCATATGGTAGACGGAGAGAATTAAATCCCACAATGTCCTCTAACCTCCACCCCGACAAATATATACACCCAGGCACACAAATTAAAGATGCAATTAAAACAATTTAAAGTTGCACCTTAGGACAATCATTTGCACAAAACTGAATCACTGGCATTTCTGAGGTCCTAAACTTTAAGAGTTTAATTTACTCCTGCATCAAGTTTGAGCAAAAAATAAATAAATAAAATAAAAAATAAACCAAAGAAGAAAAAGGTTAATTTACTTTAAAAATAGGTCTAAAACATTTAAGTATTTTACACTAAAAAGTATTAGCTACCAACAGAGGGAAGATTTTAGGCGAAGAAACCAATCAAAGTGATCAAACTCAAAAATTAAAATACACACACACAAATTAGTATTACTACATATAAAATAAATGCAGGTATGAGGAAAAAACCCACAAACTGTCCTATACACATAACCTCTAAATGCTACACCTTTGCCTTTTCTATGATTTCTCCTGCCCTTCTCAATTGTGTGCTGAATTTGATAGTAGAATAGTCTACAACCGTCCCTGTCTGTGTGTTTAGTTTGACGGTTCCACACTGCTTTTCCAGTCTAACTATACTTAGACATCTACATCACCTCAACTCCAAATTTCTACACTCATCTTCAAATTCTTCCTAGGTGTGCATGCACACACACACACACACACACACACACACACACACACACACACAAAAAAAACAACTGCCCAGCAGGTGGATCTCTGTGAGTTCAAAGCCAGGCTGGCCTACAGAGCAAGTTCCAGGATACGCTCCAAAGCTACAGAGAAACCCTATCTCGAAAAACAAAACAAAACAAAAACAAAACCCCACAACTGCCCAGAAAGTACTAACAAAAATACCCCCTTACTGCGATTTTATCCTTTATCCTTTTTTATTTTTATTTTATCCTTTATACCCATGAGCACACACCTATCTATTCAGTATGTCAGTATGCTGAGGCAGATGACAAATTAAAGTCAGCTTGGGAAACACAGCAAGATTACCTTAAACAAATAGGCAACAACAACAAAAAAAATTCATTATTCTGTATTTTTAAATAATGCTATAAGTAGAACTTTTTATCGTCTTTAAAAAGTTAATACAGAAAGAAATACTAGCTTTTGTTTGTTTGGTTAGTTGGTTGGTTTTTCGAGATAGGGTTTCTCTGTGTAGTCCTAGCTTTCCTGGAACTTCCCTCTTGAGTGCTAGGATTAAAGACATGTGCGACCAACCACGAGGTGAGGTATGTCTTTATTGTTGTTTATTTTAGTAAAATGGTTAAGTTTAACTAGAAAAACACAGGACTGAAGAGATGGTTCGACACTTAAGAGCACTGGCTGGTCTTCCAGAGGATCTGGGTTCAATTCCCAATGTCCACATAGCGGCTCACAACCATCTCTAACTCCAGTTCTGGGAATATGTTGCTCCCTTTTGGCCCTCATGGGCATTGCAAGCCCATGGTACATACAGGAAAAAAATCCATCCACATAGAAACAATAAATGTAAAAAAGAAAGAAAAATACGGTAATATCTATGAATTAGACAACAAAAATGTCGAGGAAAATTAGAAAAACTTGGAATTAGGAAGTAGCTTTGGGGGTGGAGGTGGGAGGGACGCACAGGGTGAGAATACATATGGAAAAAGAGCATCAAGGAACTAACAAGCAAACAGTAAGGGTATCCTGAGAAGCCCATTAGGTATATCAGGCACAGCTTTCTCCTACAGGACACCTAGGTAAAGCAGCTAAAAAACTGAAAAGTAAAGGAGGGCTGGTTTTTCATGAACAAAACTTATAAAGAGTTAAGGAAAGCATGAGTGACCTCATTTTTAATGAAGAAAATGTAACATCTGTTAATCTAATATTGGCTTTATAAGAATCTAGGACCAGTTGTAGCAGCATACATCTTTAATCCCAACACTCAAAAGGAAGAGGAAGGTGGACCTCCGTGTTCAAGGCCAGTCTGGTATACAGAGAGAATTCCAGGCCAGTCTGGTCTACAGAGAGTTCCAGGACAGGCAGGGGTACACAGAGAAACCCTGCCAAAAAAGAAAGAAAGACAGACAGACAAACAGACAGACAGACAGGCAGGCAGGCAGGCAGGCAGACAGACAGAAAGGCAGACAGACAGACAGAAAATAAATAAATGAATGAATGAATGATGGGTGTTGGTTTGTAAAGCTTCCTTTTTTGAAATTGATTTTTGAATTTTCACAATAAAAAGTTAAATGAAGGAGTCACACATGGTAACCCACACCTTTTAATTCCAGGACTTGGGAGGCAGAGACAGGCAGATCTCTGTGGCAGAGGCCAACCTGGACTACACTGTAAGTTCCAGAATAGCCAGAGCTACATAGTAAGACCTTGTCTCAAAACAAACAAAAAAATAGAAAAGATAAAGGACTGGAGAGATGGTTCAATGGTTAAGAGTTCTGGCTGCTCTTCCAGAACCCAGGTTTGATTTCCAGCACCCATATAGCAGCTTAAAGCCACCATACTATAATTTCGCTCCCAGGGGATCCAGTGCCTTCTTCTGGAGCCTCATCAGGTACCAACACATATGTGATGCAGATGTACATGCAACAAAGGCATTAAACCATTTTAAAAATAGTAGGAAATGAGCACAGCAAAAATAATATGAAATGTGTATTTCCATAATGAAGTTTTTGAAAAGTAAAAGAACAGGGAGGTGTGGTAGCACTTGTCTGTAATCCTAACACTTAGGAGGTCAAAGGAAGAGGAATGCCATGGGTTCAAGGCCAGCCTCAGCTACATAGTGAGGACCAAGACAGTCAGAATTTATACAGCCAAGACCATGACTCAAGAAAAAAATATTTTAAAGGGGCCAATAAGATGGCCACCAACGCTAACAATCTTGGTGTGATCTCAGACACACAGAACATGGAAGGATAGAGCCAGTCATGTAAATTGTCCTCTGACCTCCAAACAACTCAGGAGAATGTGATGTTCTGAGGTCTGCACATTTCCAGGGTGGTGTGGGACCATAGTCTGTATTCTAATTTATATTTTAAATAAATGCTGATTGGCCAGTAGCCAGGCAGGAAGTATAGGCAGGACAATCAGACAGGAAGTAGAGGCAGGTCAAGGAGAACAGGAGAATTCTGGGAAAAGGATGCAGTTGTGAGCCCGCCACAGAAGAAGCAAGATGTGAGTGCCTCTCCTAAATATGGTACTGAGCCACATGACTAGCATAGAGAATAATGGGCTAATATAACTTATAAGAGTTAATAAGAAGCCTGAGCTAATGGGCCAATCAGTTTATAACTAGTGCAGACCCCTGTGTGATTTCTTTGGGACTTAATGATGAGGAACCAGGCAGAACAGAAACCTCAGATTACACCAAGAAAGCACTTAAAGTAACAACTGCCATCAGATATTAATAGGACAGGGAATTTATGTTGTAATACCTAGGATAATAACTATTGAAAAATATAAAGCAGGCATTACTTCTAAACTAATAAAAGAAAACAGATTTTTACGAAAGCCAAAAGCAGACAATAAATTGAAGAAAAAAAAGCAAAATAATACTGAGATTGACAAATCATAGCTCTATTGGAAAATAAATGCAGATGATAGAATGGAAAAAAAAACAAAACATTCAGAAAGATGACAGAACAAACCAAGCACCCTGCATTGTGGGCGAGACAATAAATAGCACTTATATCTGACAATAACTAAGTGCTAAGTGCTGTGGTACAATAGGACACTGTTTCATAAGTAACAAAACCACAGAAACAAATACAAATGAGTAACTAAAAGATGTTATAAACACCATAAGAGATTACAATATGTGTGTTTTACCCTAGTCACAGAGACCAGGAAGGGCAGGATAAGTGGGTACACTGTAAAACTCAGAAAAATAATGTAGAGAGGAACAGGCAAATGAAATGCCTAGAGTGGAGGAAACCTATTCAAGATTGTTATCTCAGGATGGAAATTAAGAAGGAACCTAGTGTGAGCTAAAACAACTCAGGCTTAAACCCATGAAATGGTTTAAATAAGAAATCAACAAGCTAGGCTGTAGTTCAAAAATAAATAAATACAAACAAACAAAAATCCTCTAGCTATAACACAGGGAATGATTTAAAGAAAAAGAATCACGTGGGTGGTGGTGGCTCATGTCTTTGATCCCAGCACTCTGGAGGCAGAGGCAGGCGGATCTCTGAGTTCGGGGACAGCCTGGTTGGTCTACAAGAGCTAGTTCCAGGCTCCAAAGCTATAGAGAAACCATGTCTTGAAAAATCAAAAAGAAAAAGAATCAATGCAGATAAACTAGTGAGGAGCAATTGCTGGCATTCAGGCAAAAATACAAATAAACAGAATCAAGATAATGAAATTGCAGATTCATCTTTTTACTAAGGATGAATCCTTACTCAGTGCCAAATGCTTTAATAAAGAGACATGAGATAGCTAGGCTATAAACAATAAATGAACATAATATTTAAGGCCAAAAGTTCCTATATGATCTAAAGATTTTAAACATGTTCATATAAAAAAACTAAACAAACAAAAAACAAATAACAAAAACAAAAAACAACTAAATAGAACTAGTCACAAAACAGTGCTAAGAAGCAGCATAAACAAGCATATGGTGGCATATACCTGCAGTTGAGTACTGGGATGGCTGAAGCAGGAGGACCAAAGTCATCTTTAGCTACCAAGGGAATTCAAGGCCAACCTGACTTTACTGGGGGAGAGGAGGGGCGCACAGAGTCTTAATTTCCAAAGGTCTTAAATTCCAGCACTCAGGCGGCAAGGACAGGCAAAACAGAGTTCCAGGCCAACCTGGTCTACACAGTGAGTTCTGGGCTAGTCAGACTTACATAGTGAGACTCTGTCTCAAATGGAATGAATGAATGAATGAATGAAGTAAAAGTAGAAGTGGGGCAGAAAGCCCAAGTACAAAAGTAGCTTTGTCACTATCAAATTATATTAATGTCCAATAATTTTTAAGTAGATTATATCCTAAAGGTATAATGAAAATCACATTTTATAAATTAAATCATAGCATTTAAAATCACAAGACTTTTCAGTAAAAAATATAATGTGTTCAGAGGAATCTTTCCAAAATTTTTTAGCATATTTGCTTAAAGAAATGGCAATGCTTCAATCCATGAAATTCTTGTTTTATTATATTATTTTGCTAACACATTCAATGCAAAATGTATAGATATTATAAAGCAGTAATTTGCAAACTAGGGATTCAATAATTCCACTTTGAGCCATTTTATCAATCCTCAATGTAGAAATGATGAAAGTTTGTAAGACACACCTCTAAAATAGAATTATGTTTTTAAAAAGTGAACTTTGATTATTCAAATCCAACTAAAATTTTAACAATTACCTATACTCTAAAATTTAAATTGGTAAGTTCTTAGACCACTTATAAAAATACATACCTTTCTCTAACAAAATCTGCTAGCTCTTTAGTTGATATCTGTCCATGTTTCATATTATGGTAGAGAACATCAAAGCCATTATTTTTTTCCCCCTGAAATTCAAGAGATAAACAAAACCATACATAAAAAATGTGAAAGCACAATAATGCTACATTAATTATTATACAACTCTCATGCTCTGGTAAGCCATTTTTTCTTAAGCTAACAACTGTTAAATGATTACATACTACCAAACCAATATACCTTTGATAATGTTTATAATTTACTATACACACATTCTATAAATATGCAAAAGTGTACAATCAATGAAATTAAGTATGAAACTGTAAGAAACACACACCATAGTTTAGGAAATATAAATCTGGACCTTTTAAAATACATTACAAAACTCCATTATACATATCAAGAGATTCTGGGTTATTTAACTCAAGAGTTTATGCTTTAAAATAACTAGATCCTAGCTCAGCATGATGATGTGCACCTTTAATCCCTGCACTAGAAGGTAGAGGAAGCAGGATCTCTGCAAGTTCAAGGCCAGACTGGTCTATGTGTAAAGCTCTAGGCTAGCCAGCTTCAGTGAGACCTTGCCAAAACAAACAAACAAACAAAAAAATTGTTTAAGTAAAATAAATCCTGACTTTTGAGTCAAAACAGCATACTACTAATGATACAAGCTCTGAACATCATAAAATATTGATGTAGGATTGCCAGCTGTATGCTGTGAATATGTTTTATTACCACTGGTTAATAAAGAAGCTGCTTTGGCCTATGGCAGGGCAGAACATAGCAGAAACGGGAGGAAAAAAGGTGGAGTCAGGCAGGCACCATGTAGCCACCCAAAAAGCAAGAGGTAACAAACCATGACTCTCATGGTAAAATATAAAATAATAGAAATGGATTAATTTAAGATGCAATTAAAATAAGAAGCCTAAGCTAATAGGCTAAAGAGTAGGTAATTAATATTAAGCCTCAGAGTGGTTACTTCATAAGCCCTTGCAGGAGCTAGTGAGTGGGACCTGGTGGGTAGAGAGAAACCAGTCCAGAGGGACCAGTGGAATGAAGAAATTTGTAGCTACAAACTATTTTGTAATTCCTATTCAAACTTTTCAATAAACTTGAAAAAAAATCATACATTTTTTAAATGACTTATTTTTATGTATTGGTGTTTTGCTTGAATGTATGTCTGTGTGAGGGTATCAGATCCCCTGGAACTGGAGTTACAAACAGATGGCTGTGAGCTGCCATGAAGGTGCTGGGAATTGAACCCAAGTCCTCAAGAAGTGCTCTTATCCGCTGGGTCATAGCTCCAACCCCAAGATTTTCACTTCCATATATAAAAATTTAAAGAAAGAATTTAAGAAATTTAAGAAATAGGTTATTGCTTTATCTCCATCGGATAGAATGTTAATAGAATTCCGCAAATATATAAGTCTTGGAAATCTTTATGCTATGTAACCCTGTAAATTCTACATTATTAAATTATCACAAAGGAAATTCCAAAAATGTCTATTTAACATGTAAAATAAAGACCAATAAACTAAGCCTAACAACTTCCACATTTATAGCTTAAGTTTTCAATTTCCTTGAAGAAAAATTAAATGAAGAATTAAATATATTTGTTGGATATAAAAGTAATACAATTAGCAAGTATCACAGGATCGGAAATCTGTTTTCAACAGCTCACCAAAAACAGGAAACAGGAACTTCAAATCAAGCTGAAGTAATCTCTAATAAGCTCTTAGTTTGTAAACATCAAGTACTTTGGCACACATACAACAAATGAAATGTTACACAAAACATTATCTTTATATTTTGAATATCCATTTTTATCTATGAAGAAAAATAAAACATCATTGCAGTTTATGAATACAACAAATCCACTGTTCAACAGGCTTTCATATTTAAGAATGTTATTAACTAACTTTAGATTTTTGTAGGGGTTTTTTTAACTTATGCTGTTTCCAAACAATCTTTCCAGTCAAAATGAGAATATTTCAGCTAATCATTGTCAGTAGCCCGCAACAAGCAAAAACATATCAGCATCAAGATTTAGAAGCAACAGACAAAAGCAAAGGATCTAAATCTTCCAAGGGATTCCATTACTTGACACAAACTACATGTGCTTGCTTACAGCTTACAGCTGAGTTAGAAATTTTTAAATAAACAGAAACAAAACTACTGAAATACAAAATTACAACAACCCAAATCTGAGGACCTCATGCCCCATGGTTCTTATTCATACATAAGACAGGTTACCCAGTCCTCAATATGCATTATAAATATTTAAAAGGTACCCAGGAGGTGTAAGCTCAGTGGAGGGTATAAGACCCTTGGTTCAATCCCTAGTCCCCCACTCCAAATGTGGTGTGTGTGTGTGTGTGTGTGTGTGTGCACAAATTTGAAAGAGCTGGAAGCAAAGGACTACTATCAAACAAACACAGATTATTATGATAAATATTTACTAGACTCACAAGGAAAATAACAAAAACCTCTCATGTTGTAAAGGGAAAAAGAACTTAAAGACCATCTAGTAAGTTAAGCCCCTGAACAACACAGCACCTAAACATTAATCAAGGCAATGCTCATGGGTAGAGTTCTTCCCTAATATGTATAAAGTCCTGGAATGTGATCTAGTTGTCACAAAAACAACAAACTGACCCAGATGTGATGGTGACGGCATGCATTTCTAGTAGTGGAGAGGCTGGAGCAGAAGGCTCTCTACACCAAAGAAAACCTGGGCTCTATAATGAAATTCCGTCTCAAAAATAAGCAAATAAAATAAAAGACTGAGTTACATTCAGAATCTATGTTCCAAATGAAAAGTCCCTGAACTGGGCCAGAGTAAGAGTGTTTGTTCTGCACAACCTAACTTTGAATCTCCAACACGCACTCAAAAAGTCAGAATGGCTGCACATGTACATAACCCCAGCACTGGAGGACAAAGATGAATCCCCAAGAGCTGCCGGCCAGCCTCACCAAAACAGTAAGCTTCTGATTCAACAAGATGATTCATGTCAAGACAGGAGGAGAGCAGTAAAGAAAGGCCCCCAATGACCTCCTTTGGCCTCTGCACACATATATAGGCACAAAGACCTACACAGTCACCTAAATGCACCTTACACAACACACACACCCTTGAAGAACAAGCTACTTATTTGGGAAAGTCAGATTACTTAGGAAGTCCCAATGGAAGAAATGAGATCTGTTTACTAGCTGCTATACAACACAGCAATACTACCTTCAGATCAGTTCTGTCTACTTCACCCTTTAGATCTTCTCTTAAAAAGAAAAACATCCTGGTAGACTCTAATGTCATAAGAATCTTAAAAGATACTAAGGACAAAACCTTGCGATTACTATTTCATCCTACTTGGGAATTCATTGATTTACTCATGTCAAAAAATGTAGTACTGTCAGGAAACCACTTCCTAAATATAATTCCAGTAGCACAGACACTGATAACAACAATTAATAAATGGGATCTTCTGAAACTGAGAAGCTTCTGTAAAGTAAAGGACATGGTCAACAAGACAAAACAGTAGCCTACAGATTGGGAAAAGATCTTCACCAACCCCACATTGGACAGAGGACTATCTCTAAAATATACAAAGAATACAAGAAACTTGACAACAAAAGAAAAATAATCCAATTTTTTAAAAAATGGCATACAGAAAAAATGGCATACAGGAAAAAAATGGCACACAGAAAAAAAAATGGCGTACAGAACCAAACAGAGAAAACTCAACAGACAAATCTCAAAGGGCTGAAAGACACTTAAGGAAATGCTCAATATCCTTAGCCATCAGAGAAATACAACTCAAAACAACTCTGAGATTCCATCTTATACCTGTCAGAATGGCCAAGATCAAAAACACTGAAGGGAACTTATGCTAGAGAGGATGTGGGGTAAAGGGAACACTTCTGCATTGCTGATGGGAGTGCATACTTGCACAGTCGCTTTGGAAATCAGTATGGCTATTTCTCAGAAAATTAGGAAATAATTTACCTCAAAACCCAGCAATACTGCTGTTGGGTATATACCCAAAAGACACTCGCTCAATCATACCACCAGGACATATGCTCAACTATGTCATAGCAGCATTACTTGCAATAGCTAGAACATGGAAACAACCTAGATACTCTTCAACCAAAGAATGGATAAAGAAAATGTGGCACATTTACACAATGGAGTACTACACAGTGGTAAAAATAATGACATCTTGAAAGGCAAAAGGATGGATCTGAGTGAGGTAACCCAGACCCAGAAAGATAAATATAATATGCATTCACTCGTAAGTGGCTTTTAGACATAAAGCAAAGAAAAATCAGCTTACAGTTCATAACCCCAGAGAAACTAGACAACAAAGAGAGACATAGATGGATCTACACAGGAAAGTGAAAAAGACAAGCTCTCCTGAGTAAACTGGGAGCATGAGGGACATGGGAGAGGCTACAAGGGGAAAGGGGAGGAAGGAAGAAGAACAGAAAAAAAATGTATAGCTCAATAAAAACAATAAAAAATTATTTAGAAATAAAAAATAAAAAAATCAAATTTTATTTTAGTTTGCAAAAAACACATGTAGTGGTGTTAGATATGGTGGCACACGTCCACACTGGGAAGGCAGAGACAGATACAGCTCTGAAAGTTCAAGGCCAGCCCAGTAAATTCCAGACCAACCATTTTAATTTCACAAAACTATTAATACAGTATTTAGTTGTCATGAACTGTCATTTTGTTAGAAACTAAACAAAATTGTAAATAGTTTAAATGGCTCTCTATGTACAGGACATACATATATATGCAAGCATGCTTTTCAAAGTTGAGATGTCTAACAACACACAGGTTTTCTTTTCACTCTATCAAAAAGTTGCTGTACAGCTGGGCATGGTGGCACACGCCTTTAATCCCAGTACTTAGAAGGTAGAGGCAGACAGATCCCTGAGCTTGGGGCCAGCTTGGTCTAAGAGTTCCAGCATAGCCAGGGCCACAGAGAAGACCTATCTCAAAAAAACAAAAGAAACCCTGTCTCAACAAACAAAATTTCTGTACTGGCCTAGTAAGAGATAAGAGATGACAGTTTAGTAAGTACACATG